AAACTCCAGTACACGTACGAAGAAGTAACAACTCACATTGGGGATCCTCAAGCTTAGCAACAACATCCATGAGCATAATGGTCTTCAGCACTCTCTGCGAAACAAGCTCACCACAGAAAGAGGCATCCGCACTGACAGGACCCCCAAGCAACTTAACACCATGAGCAGGACGAGCAATATCTGGAGGAAAGACACCGGCCAGACGGCTACGAGGGTCCTCTGTGGGCCAGAAAACTTCCGTTTTCTCAACGTTAACATGGATGCCGAGACGAGGTCCCTCCACCAAAATCAACTCCATAACCTTCCCTACCACCAAGGTGTCACCAATAATAGTGCCATCATCCAAATACCAAGCCTGCAAACATAAGTCGAAAGAATCCCTAATTCTACAAACCAACGGATGGAGCACCAAAGCAAAAAGCAAAGGGCCAAGTGGATCACCCTACTGCACACCTTGGCATGACCTTAAGGTATGCTCCCCATAATAGAGCCTGGCTGGAGTAGAGTAACAGAATTCAACCCAACGCGAAAGAGCTGGACAACGGAGACAAACCTCACGCAGTAAAGCCGTACAATCAACCAAATTAAAGGCATTCTGGAAATCCACCAGCAACATAGAGAGGCCTACATCACCACCTCGAGCCTCAACCAAACGATTAACAGCATGAAGAATAGCCTCGCCACTCGCCAGCACCTCAACACCAAACTGAAGACCTCCTAAATAGTTCCCCATACGCGGACCAACTAAAGCAGCCCCAACCTTTGAAACCAGACGCCGCCAAACAGTACCCACAGCAATAGGACGAATACCACCACCGGGCTTAACAAGTGGCGTGAGAGGAGCACTAGCAATATACTCCCCCAACTCAGCAGGACATTTTCCTGCGAGAAAGAGATTAACCACCTGCGTAATAGAGCCCACCAACTCATCTGAAATAGCAACCGCAGCACCACTCAAGCAATCAAGAAGGTGCTGAGCACGCAAGCCGTCTCTTCCGCATGATGTACCACGCAGAAAACCCTTAATCTAATCCAAAACAACAGCAGAAGTAGCAATGGGGGGCTGATCAACGGGGATATCCGATAAGATAGGAGCCGGAAAGGAAGGGTGCTTTGCTTGTAAATCAGCAAGAGAAGCATCATTGTAAGGGGAAAGACCAGAAGACGAAAGAACCCTAACCGCAGCAGTGTAATGTCCGTCACAAATCTTTCTCTTACACTGCTTAATATTTTGTTCAGACAAATCATGCTCATCATCAGCTTCCAACAAAGGAGGAGACACATCCGCCAACGTATCCCGCACAAGATGCATAGATTCACCGGGCTCACACCTAGAACGAATAGCAGCGGTGATACTCTCTTCCTGCCGTTGCCGCCTGACATCCGAAGAACACTCACGACTACACCTCGGGGTAAAGGTTTTAAGAACACAAAGAGGCAACCCAAGCAGTTGAACCCAATAAGATACGTCATCAGGCTTGCAAATCACCTTATCAAGCGCTCCTTTGAGAACCCGAGAAAAACCCAAGCGACACTTAGGAGGAATAGATTTCATCGAACAGAACCGCTTAGATAGCAAACGATCTAGGAGAGCAACATCGAACGCCAAAAGAGACTGACGAGGTGCACTAGGAACAAGATCAGATACCTCCGAAGAAAGACCTTGTGGTTTAGGAAAACCATAAAGAACAAATCGAACAACACCATCCCCCAAATCAGGCGGGTCCACAATATCATCCGGACCAAGACCATGTCGACATTTCGAATGAAAAGTATGAGTCTTGAAACACTCCCCACAAAGCCAAATGCCCATACGCCGAAACTTTGACTCCGCCTCTAAGAAAATAGCCAAATCAGAAGCAAGAGAGCTTCGGGTCAAATCCCGTGCAGCCTGAAAATGCCTTGCTAAAAAAACGCGGAACCAGCCTGAAAATGATCGCAAAACGACCCTGAAATTCGCCCAGAAAACGCCCTCGAATTGCCTAAGCGTCAACGGAAATACCACTACTAGAAAACAGTTAATCAACGACGGAAAAAATCCGTTGGAAAACCCTGAAATTCCGTCAGAAATGCCCATTTCCGATGGAATTCCGTCGGAAAGCGTTGTCGGAAGACCCTTTGTAGGTATTTTGCGATATTCCGTCGGAAAGGTCGATTCCGACGGAATTTCTGACGGATTTGTTCTGTCGGCGCTTTGGTTGACTTTCAGTGTAAATCCGTCGCAAGGTTCCGACGGAATTTTCCGTCGGAGTAGGGTATTTTCCGACGGAAAATTCCGTCGGTGGGGTAGATTTTCCGACGGAATATTCCGTCGGAAAAATAAATAAATAAAAAGCCCCACCCCACCTCCACCACCAGCCCACCCCCTGCCCCCTACCCTTAACCTCAGACCACCACCCACAATACCCCCACCACCAGCCCACCCCCTACCCCCTTACCCCTACCTAGCCCCACCACCACCAGCCCACCCCAGCCCACCACCAGCCCTCTACCCTCCTAACTTACCCAGATCCCCACCCCCCACCCACACCCAAACCACCCCTCCTGTCCAGACCACCCACACCCACACCCAGCCCCACCCTCACGCACACCCACCCACACCCAGCCCCACCCTCACGCACACCCACCCACACCCAGCCCCACGCTCACCAACCCACCACCCCACTAATAACCCCAGACCCACCAACCCACCACTAACCCATACCACATACCCACCACCCCACCAATAACCCTGACCCACAACTAACCCACCCAGACCCACCACCACCCTACCTAACCATAACCCACTCCACAGAACCACCCCACCCCACCCTGGCTAACCCAGACGACAAAAATTAAAAAAAAAACGAAAAGTGTTGAAAAAAAAATACAGATCCGAAAATAAATTGAAAAAATCGTATTTTATACGAATTAGAGTAGACGAACGAATACAAATCTGAACAAAAATTATATTCAAACCAGATCTATGCAAGTTAATAATACAAAAAACAGAATACAAATCGGAAATCTACAAAAACGAATAAAATTCCTCTGACGAACGAACATGTTGTTGATGGCTCGAATTTTGGCTGGAATTGCTGAGATTTGGCTCAAGTTGCTCGGATTTTCACTCGAAGTTGCTTGAACTAGCATGAGAGGAGGGAGATCGAAAAATATTGATTTTTTGTGATTTTCGTTGATGGAAAAAGAAGGGGAAAGAGAAGAGGAAAGAGAGGCGCACAGGAGAGAGAAAGAGAAATGAGGGAGGCGCACAGGAGAGAGAAAGAGAAATGAAAGAGAAATGAGGGAGGCGCACAGGAGAGAGAAAGAGAAATGAGGGAGGCGCACAGGAGAGAGAAAGAGAAATGAAAGAGAAATGAGGGAGGCGCACAGGAGAGAGAAAGAGAAATGAGGGAGGAGAGAGGCGTTGTGGGTATTTTTAGGGTTTTTTTTGTTTTTTTTTTTATTATTTTTTGTTATTAGTGTTTGTTAGGTTTTTTTTTTATTATGTAAATATTTTCCGACGGAAAATTCCGTCGGAAACTTCCGACGGATTTAATTTTCTCCGGAAAATAGATGTTCCGACGGAATATTCCGTCAGAAATCTTCGAGGGATTTTATTTCCGTCGATAGATTACTTTTCTGACGGAATAATCCCTCGGAAATTTCCGACGGATTTTATTTCCGTCGAAACATTACTGTTCCGACGGAATATTCCGTCGGAAAACCCATAAATTCCAACGGATTTGTATTCCGTAGGAAATCCGTCGTAATTTCCGACAGATTTTAATTCTGTCGGAACTTTCCGATGGATTTCATGTCCGTCGGAACTTGTCCGTCGTAAATTGGCCTATTTCTAGTATTGTACAACACTGGAGAGGCTATCGGAAGAAGGCTAGTGGGAAGCCGAGAAACAATCTGGCCCCCACTCCTCTAGTTATAGCAAAGCCTACCCTAGTGAAGATATGAGCTGCATCACGAGCCCCAATATCTTGTGTCGTCGAGAACCTCTGAACCCGCTTCAGCAACGCAGCAGCCTCCTTCTCTAATTCCCCAGGTGAAGAAAAGGAGAAGGGAATGAAACTATATCCGATCAGCCGACAACTAGCTTCATATTTAACTCGCTTTCGATGAGTTGTTGTTGTTATTATTATTATTATTATTATTATTATTATTATTATTAATTAATATTATATACTAATAATAGACAAAGTTAATACAACCTACAAAAATTTAGTGGAAAGCCGATCGAGATACAATCTGGGCTCTAGCTATAGCAAATCCAATCCTGTGAAGATATGGGCAACAACATGTGCCTTAATGTATTGCATCTTCGAGGACTTTTGAACTCGCTTTAAAAATGCAACAACCTCATTCTCTAATTCCCCAAGAGAAGTGAAGGAGAAAGGAAGGAAACCGTACCCAATCACCCGACAGTTAGCTTCATACTTAACCCGCTTCTCAAGAGCAGCATCTGCCACAACCCGCCCATGAGCAAAGTCAGACAACCCAGACTGAGTCAAAGGAGAAGACCCAGTCAAGTCAACGCACACATCTCGACCCTGCTCCCAAGAGTAAAGTAACACATCTGCAGGTTTGAGGGCCCCGTCGTTCCCCCACAGACATCCCAATGTCAATCTCCTTCTTTTCCGAAATCCCATACTGGTAGCATATATCAGCCAGGGTATCCTGAACAACATTATGCCGATGTTTTTAATACCTACAATACCGACACACGACACCGCATGAACGCCATAAATATCCCCAGCTAAAACACTTGAGAAAGCAGAGCACGACCCCGAAATAGAGAACATAGGAATAACCTATGACAACACGACACACTGCGATAAGTCTTCGCGTTTATCGTCTGACCCAACCCAGAAATAGGGACCGCCCATTATTATTATTATTATTATTATTATTATTACTATTATTATTATTTATCTATTCGATTTTCCAATTGTACTTAACTCTATTTTTGACAAACAACTTTGTTCTACCGTTTAGTTTTGACACCTTACCCCACTTAGTCAACGATAATATTTACAAATTTTCACTTATCTCTCTTATTGCAGCTATATTAATTAAACTAAATTAGTTTGCATCCAATCCACTTTGTAGATACTAAATATTTAAAGAAAAAGAGAAAAATAAAAGTGTCATATCATCAACTAAATATAAAGCCTCTCATAGTCTCATATTCTAGGCTAGCTTCCTATATCATATGATCTTTGTCCTTTTTTCTCAGAATTTTTTGCAACCAAACATGAAAATAAAATATATTACTTCAAATTTATTTATTTAATTATTTTCCAACCAAACATGCATTAATACCATAACAAAACCCTTACGCCAACCTAATGTATTAAAAATAGGTAAAGCCAACAAGAGATAATAGAGCTGAGTAGACCTCTCATAAAACAATAAATACAAAGCTCTTAGAAAATACTAAATACTCATATTACTAGAACTCTCCTCTACATTGTCTTCTCACTTTAAAGAAAAAAAAAAACCCTCCACTTTTTCCGGCCAAAAGAAAAAAAAAATCCTATAATTTCCATGGAATTTCTCATGCCATTTCGTCCAAATTCAGTCCCTCTTACACCCATCAACTTCTTAGAAAGAGCTGCCACTGCCTACTCCGATTGCCCCGCCCTTGTCTACAACAACAACGATGACAATAAAAATAACAATGCGACGACCTACACTTGGGATCAAACGCATCAACGATGTGTCCAAGCGGCGTCCTCTATTAAGTCCCTTGGTATTAAGCAAGGCGACGTGGTGTCCGTCCTTGCACCTAATGTCCCTGCCATGTACGAGCTTCAATTCTCGGTTCCTATGGCGGGGGCTGTGGTGAACAACATCAACACTCGCCTTGACCCTCGTACACTCTCGGTTCTCCTACGTCATAGTGAGTCTAAGCTTGTGTTTGTTGACCATCATCTTCACCCGATTCTCGTTCGTGCACTCTCTCTTTTTCCTCCTGGTACTCCTCATCCTATCATCGTCGTAATCAAGGATACCGACGATGTGAATATCAATGGAAGCAACTCGGTTGCTAGCTATAAGCAATTGGTGGATGGTGGTAATCCGGGTTTTGAGTGGATCCGACCTAAGAGTGAGTGGGATGCACTCGCTCTTAACTACACCTCAGGAACTACGAACAACCCTAAGGGGGTTGCTCTTAGTCATAGAGGGTACTACATTCTAGCAGTTGATACACTGCTAGAATGGTCGGTGCCGAAGCAACCGGTCTATCTATGGACCTTACCCATGTTCCATGCCAATGGCTGGAGCTTAACATGGGGGATGGCCGCAGTGGGGGCAACGAATATCTGCCTAAGAAAATTCGATGCCCCCATTGTTTATGAGGCCATTCAACACAATCGGGTGACTCACATGTGTGGTGCACCCGTGGTGTTGAACATGCTAGCCAACTTACCAAATGCCAAACCCCTGACAAAACCAGTTCATATCCTCACAGCTGGAGCCCCACCTCCAGCATCGGTCCTCTTTCGGACCGAGTCCTTAGGGTTTGTGGTTAGTCACGGTTATGGACTAACCGAAACGGGTGGGTTGGTGGTTAACTCTGCATGGAAATCCAAGTGGGACCACCTACCTGCAAAAGAACGAGCTAGGCTTAAGGCTAGACAAGGGGTAGGATCCCTAGGGATGACCGAGGTTGACATATTGGACCCAAAAACGGGTCAACCCGTAAGAAGAGATGGATCCACCCTAGGAGAAGTTGTACTAAAAGGTGGAAGTGTCATGCTAGGGTACCTTAAAGACCCGGAAGGAACGTCCAAGTCCATGACCCGAACCGGGTGGTTTCGAACGGGGGACGTTGGAGTCATACACCATGATGGGTACCTAGAGATCAAAGATAGGCTCAAGGATATAATCATAAGTGGGGGAGAAAATATAAGTAGTGTCGAGGTGGAGGCGGTGTTGTACACCCACCCGGCCGTGAACGAGGCCGCCGTGGTGGCTCGACCGGATGAATTTTGGGGTGAAACACCTTGTGCATTCCTTAGCTTAAAAATGAAGGGTGAAAATGAGGTGACTAAGAAGGAAATAATAGAGTATTGTAGGGAGAGGATGGCACACTACATGGTTCCGAAGACGGTGGTTTTCGAGGAGGAGCTGCCTAAGACATCCACTGGAAAAGTTCAGAAGTTTCTATTAAGGGAAATGGCTAAAGCAATGGGTCCAATTAAGGTAGTTTCTTATACTACTAATGCTACTACTAATAATGTGATTACTCAAATGCAGTGATGTAATTAAGGAGTTTGATGAAGTTTCCTTTTCTTTAATTATATGTGTTTTGTTTAATTTCTGTTTTTAGGAAGTTGTATGATTTAGTAATGTTTAATGAATGTAACAACGTATGTACAATTACTATTATTAAGCTATTAAATTTGGTTGGTTTATGTGAAGTTTGTTTAATATGGTATTATAAATTATAATGCATTTTGTAAGCAAACAATTTAATGTAATAGGAAATTAAGTACATATATTGTTACTAATTTTGTTGCTTTTATTGAATTTTGGCTTGTTTTGATGGTTGTTTATTTGGTTGTTGAGATTCAGGTCATGTTGAAATTAATGGTAACTCACAAGTACAACTAACGAATTTGGATGTGAATGAATTTATAAATGATGTATACCGTGTCTTGCTATGAGTTATTTGTATGTACTATTTTTGTTGAACGGTCATTTAATTTTGGCAAGTTATTGAGATATTTCATGGATTTTTGAAAGTGTTCTTGATTTATTTTTTTATTTGTCTCATAAATAATACTAATAACGGATTTTCAAAAAAATTACTCCATATAATTAAGAGTAGTAATAACAATATTAATAATAGCTCAGGAAGAGCAATTTTATTCAATAAAAAGAAAGAGTTAAAGAAACCAATTTTGTTATTCCTTGTTATCTTTTTTCTTCTTTAATGTAACATCATAAACTAAGGAAATGGGTTATTTAATGAAATGTTGATCATTTTTTAGTAACAAAAGGAAATATTAAGAATTATTAGTATTATAAGAAAATCATGTGGTGGGTAAAAGATACGAAGTAATAAAATGAATTTTTTGAAAATAACCACCTACTATTCATCTCATTTTAGTAATAACCAACAATATATATATATTTTTTTTGAATTTTACCACCAATTATTTCAAGAACATTAAATCCTTCCACCAGATTGCCCAACACCTCCTATATGACGTCATTGTGCCCCCCATCGACGAGTTTTTTTTCGATTTTTTTGTTTATCTACCCTATGTTCCTCAGTTTCTTAATTACAAATCCAAATTATACAAATAAAACACAAAATTAGGTATATAGTTTATGAAATTTGGGCTAATTATATGATAGTGTTGTACATTTAGGGTTTCTAAATGAAATTAGGGGTTTGTTATTTAGTGATTTATTTACATAATTGGGACTAATTTGTATCAATTTCATGTATTATGTCTTCAATTAGAACCAAAATTGATGTTATTGTTTAAAAATTATGCTTAATTATTGTTATGAAGAATTAGGGTTCATATGTACTTTGGGGGTTTTCTTAAATTCATTCGTTATTCTAAATTATGATTTATAATCCTAAATTGAGCATATATATTAGTTCAATATAGAGTTAATTAATGTAAATACGCTTAATTTAGAAATTTATATCAATTTGAAGAATTTCCCAAATTTGAGATGAACCTTAGAAGAACAACAAATTATAATTTATAAATGTTTATTAACTTGGTTATCATCGTGTGAGCTTAAATTATGTTAAATCGACTATCAATTGCTTTCCCCTAACCTAATTTTAATGTCTGATGAAAAAATAACGCAATCAAATATGCGAATCGAGGTCACAAGGGAGACAAATACCACAATGACGTCATGCATTAGGGATTGAGCAATTTGGTGGGAAAAATTAATGTTTTTAGAAATAGTAGGTGCTAATATTAAAAAATAAAAATAAAATAATTGTAGGTGGTTATTACTAAAATGAGAAGAATTGTTGGTGGTTATTTCCAAAAAACCTAATAAAATAGATAGAATTTTCTTTCCATGAAAAGAATAAAAAAAAAACATGGCATGAAAAGTGGGGTGATAAAAAAAAAACAGGAAAAAAATAATATAAAACATATAGCAAAGACTATATATGTAGAATGAAAAAAATTGAAAAATTTGCATACAAATTAGGTATAACTAGTGTGTGGTCCGGACGATACACCGAATTTTACTTTAAATATTAATAACTATTATTTGAGCTATAAAATCATAAACTATATAATTTTAAAAAAAAAGAACAATAATAACTAATGAAACTAAATAAATGCTTTCAAATTAATGTTTTGTACAAAGTATTTAGTGTATTATAATTAAATATGAAATATAATTAAAAGATAGCAAAGTTGGTAAGAACATTAATTTGTTTCTTATTGGTCTTGTGTTCACACGTGACACATATCCTATATTAGGAACATTTTTTTATTATAGAAGTATAGATAGATATAGAAGCTTATACTACGTATATTGGATTTTGTTTTACATTAGATTTTGCACTCTTTACATAGGCATAAAGATGTTTGTGGCCATTGTGGGTTACGACGGAATGTTTTTTTTTTTTTTTTTTTTTTGAAAAGCTATGACGGAATGTGTATTGTGCTGAAGAGTGTATGCTTCTTTGGCGGATTAAGCCTGATCTAAGGCCTAGCTTTTTATTTAAACTAGGTTAAAATCTCGTGCAATACACAGTCGTTAAATATTTCTAACAATAATATTACAAAATATAAAGTATATAAAAGAAATTCAGAAATATTTTATTTTGGTATATATGGAATATGATTGTCAAATTGAAAGAAAATACATAAAGTTTAAATAGTATACTTAAAGATTTTGCGAAAAAAAAAGAGAGAAGCAAAAACGGAGGGAAAAGTTTTCACAAGGTAATGACAAGTGTCATGGATGGATTTGCTTTTAGTATAGGTTAATAGATGTTATACTAGAACTTCTAAACGAGAAACCTATGTACGATTAGAGGTGTCAATTCGGATAACCGGAAGATGTTTGGATTGGGTTTATTCAGGCCGGATATATTCGGTTCAAAATTATCCTTTTAACTCGCTTCGGGTCGGATCGGGTCACTTTCGGGTCAAGATTTGTCGAGTCCAGATCGGGTTTGGTCGGGTAAACTTCAGATTGGTTTATATTTGGTTAAGATAAAGTCGAATCGGGTTCAAAACGGGTTTGATCGGGTTAATCTCGATTCGGATGACTTTGGATTGGGTTGATTTCGATGCGATTGATTTTGGTTTTGTTAAGTTTGATTTGATTACTAAAGTTGGTTAAGTATTCGGTCATTTCTGATTCAGATACTTTTTGTGTTTGGCTGAATTTTGGTTGGGTTGACCAAATTTAATATTCAAGCAAGTACATTTTTAAGAGTAATTATTGAGTTTTTTTATTTTTTTATATTTTTTTTTAATCTTGTTATTGGGTCGATATCAAGTTATTCATTCATGTGTCATTTTTCTATATCGTGTCATTAATATATGTTTAAGTACAAAATAGGTAAATGATAAGTTAGGTTTAAAATTATGGTTAGTTTGAAATCATGTTAAGTCAAAATCAGGTCGGGTTAATATCAGTTCGGATAGAAAATAGATCAGATTGAATCGGCCGTTTGTCGGGTCAATTTTGGTTCAAATTGAGTTCAGGTTGAGTCAAATCGGTTCGGTTTGAGTTCAACTCGGGTCAAATTGGTTTTGGGTTGAGTTCAAGTCGGGTCAAATCGATGCCGGGTTAAGTTCAAATCGGGTCAAATTCGGATTTGGGTTGAGTTCAGTTCGGTTACAGATCGGGTTTGGGTGTTGAGTTTCTTGGATCAAATCGGATCGGTTACAGTTCGAACTGGATAGTTTTGTTCGGTTCGATTCTGACACCTCTATGTTCGATCAAAGTTCACATGTTGGTGTGGTGTGCTATATAAGGCATTTGTGTGCTAAAGTAAAAAGAAAAAAGAAAAGAATCATCTTAATTCAGCCTGTATTTTGTAATCTATCTATACTATATATCATAAGGTGTTTCGAATCAAGTTCACATGCCATGTGGCACTCTCCAAAGCATTTCGAATTAAGTCTGCATGTCATGTGACACTCTCTCGACTTTCTCTATTGGCTATTATTCCATGTTATTATACATTAATTAATATTTTAGAAAGTTAATCTAATATATCATATCATATCACTAAATACAGCCGGTATCACAGCCAGGCCACGAGACAACGACACTTGGCGTTTCAATTTTTTGCCAAGTGTCGAGCCACGTAGATAACAAATTGATATTATATTGTGATTAGATTAGATGTCACATTAGATTAGATTGGATAAATTTGTTTAGGATAAAAAATTATACATAAAATAATTTATAATTCTTTTGAATTTTTTTTAACTTTTTATTGACAATAGAATATTACTTATAGCAACACATCACATAGTATAATTAATATGAATATCCAATTTACAATAAAATTTTACTCCTACACGAATAATGTAACACCTCCAAATCTCCCTCTACAGAAATACTAGTATAATACGTATAATTATATCGTAGAGTTAGACTTAGGCGTATTATTGCCGCATGATTACGCAAGGCTACTCAAAATACTTAACTCAATAACAAAACTTGCAGCAGAAACTCAACTTTCTTTTATTAATACTTATAAAAATAGTAACATTGTTATGAGTACTCAAAATAAAGACAAGACCAACATTCCTAAACTAGGTGAAGCACATCCTAGGACTCCCATATGCTCATTCACGACTCCACCTGAAAATAGTCAACACTGCTTACCATTACGGTAAATAGGGCGAACCAAAATAAATAGGAAATACGGATTAGCAATATATGCTAAGTACGATAAGTGCAAGATAAGTAAATTTAATTTATTTGCAAACATGCTTTTAAAACCAATTCTAATAATTAATCTAATGAATTTCAAAACTCATGTTTCAAAACCAATTCTCAATAATTCAATAATTCCATGAAACGATTTATAAAACCAATTCCAATAATTCAATATTTCACTAATCAATGCAATTCAATAAAACCAATTCCTCTTTTTAAAACCAATTCCTCACCCAAGTGTGCACACCCCCCAATCTAGTTACCTTATATTACAAGGCTATTATTGAGGAAAGACTCGGTCTTACAAAGTCCAAAGTCTTATCAACCAAATCCGCATAGTGGGATTACTAACAACATGCTTGTAAAACTTTAATAAATAATTCAATAAAATTCCTCTTTGAATAAAATCAACCTTTATAATAGGTTAACTCAAAACTCCTTTTTATTTAATTCAACATGCTTTCAAAATCAACCTTTTGATATATACTTGAGAATTAAATCTCATATAAATAACTTTTCAAAATCAATAACTCTT